GCACCCGCTTCGGACTCCAGCCCGCCTTCGAACGGTATCTCCGACTGTAAGGCCTGGCCGAGGAGAAACGGCGCCCGCTTCCGACTTCGGCCCACCTCTCCAACCGGAGCGCTCGCTTCGGTCTTCAGCCCGTCTCCGAACGGTCTCTCCGACCGGAAGGCCTGGCCAAAACGCCACTTCCGACTCTGGCCCGCTTCTCCGACCGGGAAAACACCGGACCCCTGCCTACGGCTCCTCTCCGACTGGCGCAATCAAAGCCGGTTGGGACCAACCGACCGGGGACACCCGTTCGGTAAGGACCGGGAAACAGACAAGGAAAGTAAGGCAGCGCACTCAAGTCAACCGCAATACCGAGGACCATACCCTGTACACCTACAGGACAGTACCCTGCGACCTCCCTGACACGACAGAACGCAAGTAGTGTTGTAGGCCGACATTTTCCCTACAGTGTTGTGGGTGCCATCAACTCCCATACCAGACAAATACGGTAAGGCTCCCCCCACATGCCTCTGAGGCATCGACAGTGTTGTGGGCACCGGCATTTACCGTACCAGGTGAACATGGTAAAACCCCCTGCATGCCTCTCGGTAACAACAGTATAGCAGGTACCGACATCTGTCATACCTGAAGAAGACGACACAACCTCCCACGTGCATCTGACATTCAACAATATTATGGGCGCCTACCATCGTCTTGTACCCGCCGGCGTAGGTAGCAAGACTTAGCAGCGAACTTACTCCCTCCCTCTCGCTTATAAAGCCATCCCGTTCATCTATAAAAGGGGATGCGCTCTCTTCCAACATATAGATTGATTCACATCGATCAAGTTCACTAGTACACAACAGTAGAACCATCAGGTTCAAACCACGAGCACACGTTCGAACATTTAGCATATAGCGGAGCTCCCGTCGCTCTCGGTCCCTCTGACCATAGTCCGACCGGACCTCTTGTACCTCCATCTTACTCCTTCTCGTTTGTAACTCTACTACAAACTTCGAGCACCTGGGCTCAGGAATAAAGTCACCGACCGATTCAAACTGGACGTAGGGCACATTGCCTGAACCAGTATAAACCCTGTGTCATTGAGTGCTAGGCCACCTCCGATCACAACGTACGACAAAACTAAAAATATTTACGTGTTAGTCATTTTCTACACCAACATAAATGTTGTACGTATTTTCTACAAACCTAGTCAAAACTAAGAAAGTTTGAAACTACACGCACCCCGTAACGGATCCCATAACGACTTCTGTTAAGGGACGAAGGGAATATATACGTAACTTTTACATCTAACCCATAACGACCTCTGTCCGACGGAGGTAGTATATAGATAACTTTTACATCTATATCCTCATTAATTCCATGTCATGTCAGCAAAAAAACAATACCACGTGGCATTTAACCATTGAAGTATGTTACTATCCACTAGGACTAGCCTCATCAGGTTGCTAAACTGAAAACAAACACCGATCTGCCGCCAAAACGAAACAAAATCACCAAACCCAGATTATCTACGATTTCGCCTAAAAGAGGATACCAGATTATCTACTTTGCCTAAAAGAGAACACCAGATTATCCACTCTGGACCACGCTCATACTTGATTGGACCTTAATGGTGGCGGTGCTATTGTCGGCCTGTCGCTTATTTGCAAACGGCATATAGGCTGTGATACACACGAATATCTACTTTCTTTGGACCACGATGATTAGTGCAAGTCGCCACGGACCACCAACCAAAATTCAAGCATCAAGGATCGCGTCCGCAGTTTGCCACGCCACACATGCGGCCACGCCAAAAGTTCGGCGGCTGATTTGTCCGCCGCATGTTAGGCAGATTACGGCATCAAAAATCAACTGAGTGCTTGTGGCAAGAGGTGTGGCATGCCGCAAGTCCGGCCATGCACCAAACGCCCGCGAAACTTCGGCACGGAAACTGTGGCGCATTGTGGCAAACTGCGGACGCGATCCAAACGCGCCCCAAATCTGCAATGAAAACTCACAACCAGACCGAGGCAAAACCAGCAAGGTTGACATCCATTATCACCAGTAGCTTTCAGCCACCATTGCAATTGCAACACCAAAATGATCAAACAACAATCCACACAGTTAAGAGCCAAAGTACTCGACAAGTTCATGCACAAAGGACAGACGAGCGAGTGATGATTATTCAATCCAACAGCAACACAATCACTTATTCTCCATGGAACACATCATAGTACAAGAGGTAACCACTCCCAATCTTGCAAGAGATAGCCACTCCCTGCTAAACTCCTCAAACAGATATAGCCTACCCCAAACAGAAAATTTGAAGTCTAAAAGATACCACCTAAAAACTAGCAACTGACGAATCCACTGCATTCGAATCAGATGCAGAACGCAATTGGCATACAGTAACCAATTGGAAATCAGATGCAGAACACAATTGGCATACAGTAACCAATTGGAAAGTGTTAGCCAAACACAGGTGCTCAGAGCTTACCCTTGAGCCTCTTCTTCAGCACATCCATGACGGCACCAAAGTCAGCCTTCACGCTAACAGGCGGGTTGGAGTACTTGCAAGCCATGTCCTCGATCTTGCTGTCATGGTAGTCGATCTTTGACTGCGAGAACTTCAGGCCATGAGCTGTGCTGACAACCACCGTGCGATCGTTTGGCCCGATGATGCGCTGGTCCCTGAGCTTGAACAGGGCAGCAAGCGCAACCCCAGTATGCGGGCAAGCAAACATCCCGGTGCGGTCAGCGAGTGACATTGCGTTCATGAGCTCTTCCTCTGTGGCCTCCTCAACAATGCCATTCGTTGCCTTGAGCGCGACCACAGCTCGGTCCACAGACACCGGGTCACCGATCTGAATAGCTGATGCAAATGTTGGCCTGGCCACCTGCGGTTGGAACTCGGTCCAGCCTGACTTGTAATAGCCGTACAGTGGGTTTGCGTTGGCAGCCTGTGCGCAGACAAGCCGCGGCACATGATCAACGAGCCCAAGAACACGGCACATCTCAAATCCCTTGTAGAAGGCATATATGTTCCCCAGATTGCCTCCCGGCACAATCACCCAATCGGGCACCTCCCAATCGAACTGCTGCAGTATCTCAATGGCCGCTGTCTTCTGCCCCTCAAGCCGGAGGGAATTGAGCGAATTGGCAAGGTAGATAGGCAGCTCGGCAGTCACCTCCCTGATGAGCCGCATGCATCCGTCGAAGTCGGTGTCGAGCGAGAGCACGGTGGCGCCGTTGGCGATGGGCTGGATGAGCTGCTCCAGCGAGATGCGATTGGCAGGGAGGAAGACAATGGCCGGGATCCCCGCGGCGGCGCAGTAGGCGGAGAGCGCGGCGGAGGTGTCCCCCGTGGACGCGCACCCGACGCCGGCGATGGGGCGCGAGAGCGGGGCGCGGCGGAGGCGGTTGACCTGGCTGACGAGCACGGTCATGCCGAGGTCCTTGAAGGAGCCCGTGTGGGAGATGCCGCAGTGCTTGACCCAGAGGTCGTTCATCCCGCCAAGGTGGTCGCGGCCGAGGCGCTCGGCCCAGAAGAGGTTGGAGTTGCCCTCGAAGAGGGAGACGATGTGGTCGGGGTCGATCTCGGGGAGCACGAACTCCTTCTTGGACCAGACGCCGGAGCCGTAGGGCCAGGTGGTGCGGCCGACGCGAGAGTCGAAGAGGTCGCGCCAGTAGGCGCCCGAGAAGCGGGCCAGCGCCTCCATGTCGTGGCGCACGTCTAGGAGCCCCCCCGAGCTGGAGCGGTAGACGATCTCGTCCAGGGAGTAGCGCTCGTTGGGGTCGCCGTTCGGGGCCGGCGGGAAGGGCTCGTACCAGGCGGAGAGGCCCTGCTTCGGAGCCCGGTGCCGCGCCGCCTCCTCGCGGATGTTCTCATCCGCCGCGCGCCGGTGCTTGGTGGTGGCCGCGGGGGCGGCGGCGTCGATGGCACAGCAGCGGACGCGGCGGGCTGCCGGGTGTAGCTGTAGGTGGCGGCTTGGGGTGGCGGAGCGCGACTGCGGGTGGGAGAGGAGGAACGACATGGAGGCGGCGTGGGTCGTCGCCGCCATGGTGGGGGAAAAGCTGGCGGCGGCGGAGTGGGATTAGGGGAGGGGACTGATGCGTGATGAGTGGCGTGGATGGGAGGGTTTAAGGAAGGTGGATCTGTGGAATCGCGTTTTTTTTTTCTTTTTCTTTTGAGTGGTGGGGTTGGTGGAAAGCTGGACGTGTCCGCGAACGGTGGAGAAGCACACAAAAACAACAATTATAGGGAAACTAAACTAGTTTTGTTTCTTTCTATGGTATATATATGAATCTTGCTAATTGTCGCAAAAAAAAACTTGCTAATCACAATGAAGTATTTCCACATATATATAGTCCGAATAGGTATAGTCCGAATAGTTCTGTTCGTTTCGCTGAAATTTGGCTTATGCTGATTTGTTCGTTTTGCTGAAATTTAGCTTATGCTAAGTTGTTGTAAGAGGGAAACTATGTTCGTTCGTTGAAAAGTACTGCTGAAGCAGGTAACAAGGTATTCCGTCCTGAAATAAGTAGATTCTAGGGTCTTTTTGTATTAAACATAACTGACAGAGTTGGAGACAAATTTTTGGATCAAGCGGTCCAGTTGGCAGTGGCAATTGGCAGACTGTCAAGGGAAAACCTGGCATTGCATAGCTTGATCTCGATGCACAAACATATACCAAATGTATAGTCAACATGAACTAAAACATGAGATCATAGATTCAGAGCAGTTCTCTGAATACAGTGTTGAACATTTTGGGGTTTGATGGTGTTGATCGATGAACGTTGGAGCAGTACATGTATTGAGTTATCGCGGAGAAAAACACACAAAGACAGAAATCCAAATAATCCCCATAATCTGAAACAATATGTGAATCCAATTTACATTACTTGCTGTGTGATAAAATGAAAACCTCTACAGATCAATTAGGGTAAATATATCTTGGCGGCAATGGCCCTTGTGTCAACAACTAAGCGAACCTAATAATCTATGTGTCGTTTGGTTTTCATCTATTCAACATTTCTGGTGGCTGTGGAGGAGTGTTCACAAATTGTGCACTCTTGTTGAACCCTTCCTGTACCATAATTCTTACTGCTTGCAAGCCCCTTTGGAACGTAACTTCAAGCTGCAGAAATTGGTGAGAAGAGTTAACGATATTCTGCTTGAATAGATCAGTGTAGTGCATTTCAGCTTAAGATTTTATGATACCATGGTCTACAGTCTACTTAAGAAAAACATCATAGGAATAGTGATCAAGCAAATTTGCATGCATCCAAATGGTATAGTGCAGTCTAGCGCAAACCTCTTCCTTTTCTTGCTCGGTGAATGACTGTAGAACAAAACTGATAGCACCCAGCTCCTCAGGTGGCCGTCCAATGCCTGCACAACATTTTTTTTTCGGGGGGGGGGGATCATATTTCAGACTTAACCCCTGATGAATAAAAAAATAAATTGTCGTACCAATCCTTAGACGTGCGAAATTGCTGCTTTGTTTCAAATGGTCAATAATACTCCTCATCCTGCGATTTGTACAAATGGTTAAGCGAAACAAAGCATGATAGTTTTGATAGAACTACATTAGCATGTTTGTAAACTATTGAAGAAAACAGAGGGTTCACAAGGATTTATGTTCCAAGTTCCATTTGAAGAAAAAGAAATGTAACAGTCGCCTCATAGTGGAGGGAAGGGTTGTGAGTAAAATTCAATTTATAAAGCAAGTGTTATATATTATTTTTATTGAACCATTCACTCAAGTCCCTTTCAATTTAGCCATGGAATACAAGGGGAAGAAGGGTTCTAGAAAAAAAAATGAATACCCATTGTGTCCACCATGTCCCCCCTTTGGCAGCAGACGCAATTTCGCAAAGGGTAGATCAAGATCATCATAGATCTATAAAGAACAGGAGACAATTTATGTGACAAAAGATTCTCATAACATGACAAAGTACCAGCTCAAGGACAACATTTACCACAACTAATTGATTGAGTGGTATCTTGAAGTATGAAACCAGCTGTCCCACCTACATAAATAGCAGTAAGGAGAAAAGGACTAGCAAGAACAACTGATTTCAAGCTGCAGTAGAGTAATTTCACTTACAGACTCACCACTTGCATTCATAAAAGTCTGTGGCTTGGCAAGCATTACAGGGACATCACCAATGAGGCCTAAATTAGAGTGAAGCATTATATTTTCAAAAACATACATGTCTATTTTAATTACATTAGATATATATCTAATCATAAATTGCGAATTAATAGGTTTTCTTTATTTGCAGATGATTGAAAATTCCAAATGAACTTGCTAGTAGATACGGAGTACTTCTTACAAAGCATTAACTCAGAAGGTGCAAACAGGAAGTGTATGATCAAGAACAGAGAAAATTCAGATAAATGGGGATTCATCTGTTTGATCGCTGGAAGCACTCACAAATTCAGATAATGCTCAAAAGCTTAAAAACAGCACTTAATTGTACTGTTTAACAAAAAAGTTCACATGAAGTAAGAAAAAGCTTAGAAAGACCAATGGTAAAACTCAAGAGAGATGATGTCTTACTTGATTCTGCACAAGTCACACAAGAGAAATGACAAATAATTAACTGATTAAATTAGCTAGCAAGAAGAAAAGGAAGGAGAAAAACAAAATATCAGATATTACAGCATTTCGGCCAGTCAAGGACAGAGCCAGAAATAGGGGAACAAGGGAGGTCAACTATGCTAGAGAGTAAGAGTTGAAATATACAAGACAAGGGGTGCCAAGTACTTGTAGTACCAGCAAATTTCTCAACATGCAAAAGAAACTGCAACACTAAATTGATCACCATGAGGGCAACATAAAATGCTTAGCTAGGTGGAAGTTTTATCACTCACTGATACAGACCCATATATCAGTAAAATTAATTACCTTTTCCGACAATCGCCTTAAATTGTTTACTGCTGACTGAAATGCCCTCAGCTTCCGCAATAGCATCAATCATCTCAAAGCCAACCTGTGTCGTGACATAAGATGATTAAAACATGATTCTGGATCTTACAATTATTTACTACTGAATTCACAGCATGCTCTACTAAAGCAATAGTTTACATCCTATATAACATAATCAAAGATCCAGTTTTTCCGCAGAACAATGCTACATTATGTCTATGTTTGAACCGTAAACCAATGCATACTTAAAATCACTAGAAGGCATACGCACAGATTATAAAGAATTAAATGGAAGCTCCAATGTGCTCAAGACAACCAATATGCAAATTAAGCGAAGCTCAAGATGCCTAAATGCCAAAACTTTCTATGAAATAGTATGAAACAACAAAAATATAAGAACAACTTTATTTGAAGTTATATCCTGGTGGATAAGATTCAACCTTCATAAGTGGTAGCCCTTCCCAACTTAATCATAAACATGCTATCTTGGTTCTTCTAGTTGAAATCATAGTTCTGCGAATGCAAAATTGTAACTTTGGACTAAGATTTACATTTCACGAATTCGGTCCATGCTTAACTAGTTTCATTACGACAAGGTTATGATCTCTATATGCTAACTCCTAAAACAACAAATTCCTCCAATAATCAGACAAGAGAAGGGGATTCAATGCAGGACACATGCTATCCGTAGCAAGAAAAAAGCCTAAAAGGGGATAATTTCCATTGCCAGCAGCCAGAAAGAAAAAAAAGACAAATTATCTGTGCTAGAGAATTAAAAGGGATTGCACATAACCACAGTACATGGAAAAAGTGATAGACCCCATGAAGAATTTTCAATTCTTAATGCCAAGGTAATTGTGATGGAAACATGCGCATGTAGAATTACTTGATGAGTTGATGTAAATAAAATTTTAGCACCACAATCAGCAACAGTTGTTGTCATCAACCTAGCATGCCCACCCTAGAATATCTCTCAACCAAACGCAACCTTATTCCCCACACCTGCATCAGCTGAATCCACTATTATCGACAGACAGCCCATCCATATATCGAAGTAAAAAACTAATCTAGATCGAATTGCCTTTTCCCCCAAATAGCAACTCTGCCACCGTGGTCGCCACCGACGAGGCAGTCGCCCTCGCATCTATCGTCGTCTTAGCTAGATTTATCCTACACGAGACGTGACGGACGGGCAATTGGAGAGAGCTCGCGAACTTACGTTGTGCCGAGTGCCTTTGTACATCCGCCCGGGGTTCCCCAGACCGACGAAGAGCCATGGTTTCTGGGCGCCGGCGCAGGCGTCGGCAGCGGCTGCCGCAGAAGACGAGGCAGCGGCTTCACAAGCGAGAGCCGGCATGCTCGAGGGGTTCGTTCGACCGAAAAATACGCGCGAGAATCCGAGGCGGTCGGACACGGAGCCCAGGACGGCGGAGGCAAGCGCGGAAGAAGAATCGAGGACGCCGGAGAAAAGCCGCATCGCCGCCGTTTGGTTGTTATTATAGCACGCGGTTCCAGGGGTCCGAGCTGTTGACCGAAAGATAACCGGCGGAGTGGCGGACTGATTGCCCATGGGCCTATAGTAGGGGCCCAGGCCCCAAGCGTATCTCTGGTGACTGGACAACATTTCAGACTGCGTATTATTATTATTTTTCCCGAAACAATCTCCCAATAGGACAAGGAGTTCCTCGGTTTTTTTTTTTTTGGAACAGGGAGTTCCTCGCTTCGCGCTGTTCAACATATATGGTAGAAAAACAATAGTATCCTAAGAGAAACTGGATCCGAAAAATCGACAAAAAAAAACTCAAACATGACAGCCTCACTAACTAACCCCAAAGCAACCAATTGCACATGAGATCTCATTGCACATATAAGCAATACACAATGCATCATCGTTCCCCAGCTCCTAGCTCGGCACGAGCAATCAGCAACTGTGACTCCCATAGCGAGCATCAACTAGAGTCCCAAAACATAGCAAGCCCCAACACACCTCACCTCATCCGGCACTAAACAACCGGTAATATGGCATAACGGTAATGCTCTGAACTGGACGTCCATCCGCCCGCTGCTCCGTTGCTGAGCCACGACGTCAGTCCAACAACTCAGGCTCTTTCGTTTCTTTAAAAAAACTGTTCATTCACTTATTCCCATCCACTTGTTCCTCTTCCTGTCATTCTTATCCATTCGCCTACCGCATCTGAGTGTATGGCCGCTGGCCCTCCGAAGCGCAGCGCGCGGCCGCCTCCAAGGTGCACCGCTCGGTTGCTGGCCTTGCCAGGCGTGGCGCGCGGCCGTCTCCGAGTCGCGGCACTCGTCTACCGGCCCTACCAGGCGCAACGCACTGCTGCCCTCTCCTTGTCGCGCGCTCGCGGCCTCCCCACCGCTCGTGCGCCCGATGCCTCCCTTCTGCGACATGCGGCCACTGCCGCGCGGCCCACTGCCTACAAGCGTCGTCGGCCCGCCGAAAGGTCCTTATTTAGTTTTGGTAATTGATTGACAACCTAGGAGGACTAATATATGTTTACGTGAGATACACAGATGACTAGTCCACAGGTACATGTGTGTGAGCAATACATGCCATGGAGGTGAAATGTTTTGGATATGTTACAAAGCTCACACATGTGATGATGGATCTCATTGCATATGAGACATGACATTGAATCATGTGACTAAGATTTAGAAGATCAAGACAAGGCTTGGCTTGACGGACCGGTTGCAAGAGTGAAGGGCAAGTCGTGGACTTGGCGCCGATGGACCGAGGCAACAGTGAAGAGCAAGTGATCAGGTCAAGATCGATGAACCAATATGGTCACGTAATGATATAAAGTTGATCATATCATTTATGATATTGTTGGTGCATGTGTTTCATCAATATTGGAGGAGATGGAATGGAATGCGCAAGAAAAAGGTATATTTATAGGGCATTTCATTTCACCGGTCATAGGTGTGTAAAGAAGTTTATGACCGAGTTTAGGATAGATAGCCGTACTATCAAGAGGGGCAAACTTGTTTGCATATCGGTCATCTATTGCCACTCGAGTGATCTAACTTTGCATTGTTGCTAGGATCGAGTGGCGTGGTAAAAAGAGTGCTAATCCTTTAAAAAATATTTGTGAAAATACTAACACACTTGCACATTATGGTGTACACTTGGTGGTGTTGGCACATTTGCAAAGGAGAAGAAGTTTGAGTTGATTTGAAGATGAAAAAGTGAACCGGATCCTAGAGATGAGGGCAACAGGATCAATGTGAGATGGTCCTGTTGGTTTGTGTTGAACGGGACCCTGGCGGAGATGGTCCTGTTGGTAGAACCGGACTCGGTCCGGTTGCTTTTAAGTTGTTTTGGACTTCTCTGTGTTGAACAGGACCCTGGTGGCGCATGGTCCGGTTGGTGCTTCTCTGGGTCCAGTTGCCTTGGTCTGATTGGTTTTAAGTGCTCTATGTGTTGAACAGGACCAAGGTGAGATGGTTTTGTTGAACAGGACCCTGGTGACTTGGTCCGGTTGTAGCAACAAGACTCGGTCCGGTTGCTTTGGGAGCTCTCAGGACTGAACAGGACCGAGGTGTTAGATGGTCTGGTTGCTCGGTCTAGTTGCTGTCTGAGCGCATGAAAGTGGCCGTTGAAGCGCCAATGGTCATCTTCGAACAGTCAGGGACACGTGGCTGGTCTGGACCTAGGGTCTGGAGGCTCAGTCCGGAGCCCCCAACGCTAGCTTTTGAGCAACGACTCTATTTGGCCTTTGGGCTATAAATAGAAGGGGTGCTTTGGCTTGACTTAGGTTGAGCGCCTTGGGGGGATTTGTGTCCATGCTTGAGAGTGCTTGGGAGCCCTCTAACTCACTTGTGCTTGCAAAAGTGTGAATCAATTGCGAGTGAGTGATTCTAGTGCGATTTCATTGTGAGATTGCATCGAGTGGCACTAGATGTTCAAGTTGTAAGCCAGTGGTGCTTATTACTCTTAGAGGTTGCCACCTCCTAGATGTCTTGGTGGCATGATCACTGTCGAAACACGCAAAGAAGCTTTGTGCGGTGCTCTGGAGAAGCTTGTGAGGGGTATTGTGCTCGCCCCGCTAGAGCCGCGAAGAGCAACTCTAGTAGAGCGAGATGTGAAGGGCGACAAGTGGTTCGGCCGGGTCAAGTGCTAGAGCTTGTGGTAAGCACTTCATGTGGGAGAGTGTGACTTGTGGGTCACCACTAGCAAGAGGATCGACAGCAACCTTAGAGCTTGTCTTAACAGGGACTAGCTTGGTGGCAATCAAGTGAACCTCGGAATAAAAATCACTGTGTCATCATCTTCCCGTTGGTTTGCGATCTCCGTACACAAGCTTGTATTTACTTTGTGCTTGTGTAGTTGCTCTTGTAATTAGTTGGCTTGTGTAGCTTGCTAGTTACCTTCTTACTTATGTAGCATAGAAGTAGCTCTCTTGTGTAACTAGTTTACTTTTGTAGTAAATTAGTTGTCTTGCTTAGTTTGTGTAGTTAAGTAAATTGAGCTCTCTAATTTGTCTTGTGTAGCCTTGTTATTGAGCATTGCTAGTGAGCTTAGGAGCTTTATGCTTTTTGCTACTAGCATGTGTAGGAGCTTCTCGATGCTTGAAGTACTAGTGGTCTAGGTTTATGTGACCTTGCTCCTAGAATTGGTTAGGTGAGCTCTTGCTAGTCCGGTACAATTAGATAGATGGGTGTAGTCTCGGCTAGACCGATAGTTTTAATTTCGCATTTGTTTCGGTTAGCCGGCACAATTAATTTTAGAAAGTACTATTCACCCCCCTCTAGTCCACCATCTCGACCCTACAGCCGCGGCCTTCGGTGAACACCACACACCGACGAGCCTCCATTCTACCGAATAGCAAGGAGATGTTGCGTTGAAAGCGCATGTTGCAAGAGTATGTTTCAATTGTTTCAGATGTTTCAGAGTTATGTTGCAAGTGTTTCATATGGATGTTGCAAAAATAGATTATGATGTTGCACATGTTGCAATGGTTGTACACGTATGTTGCAAGCGTCCGTTCCATTCATCTGCTTTTTTAGGCGTATATTGCAAGTGTGCTTATTCAGATGTTGCAACATATGTTGCAAGAGTATGTTCAAAATATTTTAGTTGTTTTAGTCTTATGTTGCAATAAGTGTTTTCATGTTGCAAGTTGTAAGTGTTTTATTTGAATAATGCATATGCTTCACACACATGTTGCAAGTGCATGTTTTAAATGTTTCATTTGCTTTAGACGTATGTTGCATTCAAGTGTTCCATGTTGCAACTGTTTCATGTTACAAAGGTATGTTAAGAGAGTCATAGGGCACGGACCGGGCGTCGGGAGAAGGGGCGCGATGAGCCGAGGGCCGACGAATGGGGTGCGCGGTGCATCTAGGGTTCTACGGACGGGGTGTGCTCGTCCTCATCCTGGCTCCCGGGTCCCACCCACGTAGAGAGAGAAAGGAGGGGTCAGGGGGTAGGAGTGGCGGGCATGGAGCGGGGCAAGATGGATGGGGGTGAAGTACGTATGCATGGCGGGACGAGGCCAACGGGGAAGGGCTGCAGCGATACAGCGGGAGTGCGATGCGTTTCTGCTGGACCGTCCGATGGAATCCTATACCATCGAACGTCCGAGCGCCTACAATTCCCTATGGCATAAAGCAATTCCCTAATGATGGCCCCCAGTGTGCAGCGGCCCAGTGCCATCAAGGGTCCTCATCCTCAGTGCCTCCTCGACCATACAAGCCACTTTCTCCAGCAACAAATGAGGTTGAGCCATCAACAGCTACACCATGGAACATTTGGTCCATTTGATCCAAGTACTCTGGCCACCCCCGCTTGCATTTCTTCCATTCTAAGTGGCCTTGTAGAACATGTGCTTACCATAGTGAGTAAGTGATGAACTAAATAGTGGTCAAACAAGAAACAAGCAGTTTGACAAGTACCTTAGTGTTACCATTCCACCATTCTTCTGTGGCATCAATAGTGTCATCCTCTCTACGGCCTAAGCCAGTGTCACTCTACAATCTTCTTATGAATTGCCAGTATCCCTTGAGTTGCTTAATCCTGTTACTGATCTGCTTCTGATCATGCACCAAATTGGTTGCTGCATTATACCTTAGTATAACCTCCCCGTACCCTCTCTTTGACATGGATCCTTTGATGCTGCTACCCTTGTTAATTTGGTCAACCCACAAATTACACAATATTTTGTTATGTGGTTCTGACTAATTTGCCTTGTCAGTTCTATCCTAATCCATGCATAACAAGAATACACAGATACATTAAGAGCATGGCAAAATCCTACAACAAGCATATTTTCAGGGTCTGAAAGTGTACCGGGTCATGAGCGTTCAGAAATATCTCTTCGACATCGCCGTCTTTAGCAGCATCCTAGGGTTGATGTTGAAGTTGTCTTCTGCAATAGCACTCATCGCGGCTCCTCGACGTCCACTGTGGGTCCTCGATCCGGCAGGCACGGATGAGCTAGATCCACGCATGCCACG